ATTATCTTGCCCCAAACCCAGCGGTCACCCTGGACTTCTCTCTCCGTCACTCCTCAGGATCAATCCACCTGCAAGTCCTATGGGCTCTACTTGCAACCCATATCTCAAATCTGATCACTTCTTCTTCTTTTTTTTTTTTTAAATTTATTTATTTACTTTGGCTGTGTTGGGTCTTCATTTCTGTGCGAGGGCTTTCTCTAGTTGTGGCAAGCGGGGGCCACTCTTCATCGTGGTGCGTGGGCCTTTCACTATTGCGGCCTCTCTTGTTGCGGAGCACAGGCTCCAGACACGCAGGCTCAGTAGTTGTGGCTCACAGGCCCAGTTGCTCCGTGGCATGTGGGATCCTCCCAGACCAGGGCTCGAACCCGTGTCCCCTGCATTAGCAGGCAGATTCTCAACCACTGCGCCACCAGGGAAGCCCCGAATCTGATCACTTCTTAAAACTTCACTTCACCCTCCTGGGCAAAGCCACCCTCAGGGCTCACCTGGACTGTAGGTACTGCCTTCTGCCTGGTTCCTGCTTTCTCTCTCACCCAACCATCGTCAGTGCTCCACGCAGCCAACAGAATGAATTTCTTCTTTCTCTTTTTAAAAATGTTAACCCAGACTTCCCTGGTGGTGCAGTAGTTAAGAATCCGCCTGCCAATGCAGGGGACACGGGTTCGAGCCCTGGTCTGGGAAGATCCCACATGCCGTGGAGCAACTAAACCTATGCACCACAACTACTGAGGCTGCACTCTAGAGCCCGTGAGCCACAACTACTGAGCCCGCGTGCTGCAACCACTGAAGCCTGCGCGCCTAGAGCCTGTGCTCCACAACAACAGAAGCCACAACAATGAGAAGCCCACGCACTGCAACAAAGAGTAGCCCCCACTCAAGGCAACTAGAGAAAGCCTGCATGCAGCAACGAAGACCCAACGCAGCCAAAAATAAATAAATAAATAAATTTATATTAAAAAATGTTAATCCAAGGGAATATACATATACAGATTATAAGTGTATAGATCAATGAATTTTTGCAAACTGAACACATCCAGGTGCAGCACTTGATTAAGAAACAGACCACTGGACTTCCCTGGTGGCGCAGTGGTTAAGAATCTGCCTGCCAAGGCAGGGGACATGGGTTCGAGCCCTGGTCCAGGAAGATCCCACATGCCGCAGAGCAACTAAGCTCGTGCGCCACAACTACTGAGCCTGTGCTCTAGAGCCCGTGAGCCACAACTACTGAGCCCACGTGCCACAACTACTGAAGCCCACGCGCCTAGATCCTCTGCTGCACAGCAAGAGAAGCCACTGCAATGAAGAGTAGCCCCCGCTTGCCGCAACTAGAGAAAGCGTGCGCGCAGCAACAAAGACCCAACACAGCCAAAAATAAATAAATAAAAATTTTAAAAAAAATAAGAAAAATTTTTTTAAAAAAAGAAACAGACCACTACCAGCAGCCCAGAAGGTTGCAGACACAACTGTGCTGATTTCTAATAGCATAGACTAGTTTTGTCTGTATGGAATCATACAGTAAGTATTTTTTTGCACCTGGCTTAAGCCTAACATTATGCTCATGAGCAAGAACCAACTTTAAAAAAAACAGATCACAGGACTTTGCCACTCAAGACTCTGCAATGGCTCTGATGGATACACTTCCAGTCAAAGTCAGAATAAAATCCAACTCCTAACCACAACTCCAAGGCGCAGAATAATCTGCCCTGCGTTCCTCTCTGACCTCACCCCTAGCACTGTCTTCGTCACTCACTCATTCCATTCTGGCCACACAGGCCTCCTAGCTGTTCTTGTACAAATGACCCAGTTCCATCCTCAGGGCCTTTGCACTTCATGTCTCCTCTGCCTACAATGCTCTTTCCTCAGATGTCACTTGGTTTGTCCCTTGCTTCATTCAGGTCTCCATTCAAACGTCACCTCCTCTGAGAGGCCTTCTCTGACCAATATGTCTAAAGGAGCTAACCCCATTCCCACTCTGCTTTTATTTCCATTAGAACACTTTTCAAGGGGACTTCCCTGGCAGTCCAGTGATTAAGACTCCACGCTTCCACTGTAGGGGGCACGGGTTTGATCCCTGGTCTGAGAACTGAGATCCCTCATGCCATGCAGCGTGGCCAAAAAAAAAAAAAACAAACCAACAAAACACTTTTCAACACCTAACATTATGTTGTATACTTAGTTATTATGTCTTCCATGTCTAAAAGACAGCTCCCAACAAAGACGTTTTCTGTCTTGTTCATGCTGGTACCGCCAGCACCTAGAACAGTGCCTGGCCTGGAGTAAACTCTTTATCTTTTTTTCTCGAATGAATACTGTTTTCCCTAAGAGAACTGACTCCCCATTCCTGAGCCCCAGCATCCTCATCTGGATAATGGGGATTACAATCCTGATCTGAGGATTAGATGAGATAATGTGAATGCAAAATTTTGCTTCTCTGTTCTCACCTACAGGTGCCATCGCAGAAGAGGGCAGTGCCCTCCATGAGACATGACACTTGTTTTGGGCTGACCCCTGAATTCTCCTTCAGTCCTGGCAAGTTCAGGGGCCTGGATGCCCAACAATGGGCCCAAAATAAGAGAGGGGAATACTGGAGGAGCCACCAGGATTCATGGACCCAACATCTGCTTTCTTGTCAGCACCCAGGTCAAGGTTTACCTTGGGATGCCTACACACCTTTGGAACACATCTTTTGCACCACCTCCTTTTCAAGCACCTGTATGCTAGCTCAGGACAGTTCTTGGGAAGCGTGGCAGGTACCCAGGTGTCGTAGTGATGACCAGACTCACCTGATTTGCAAGCCACTGCCCCCTGCTCTGGACATGTGCCAAAGGATGGAGCAGCTGTTGGTCCACTCCCCAGAAGAACCGGTACCACTGGAGCATATTGTCGACATGAGATGCCACCCCACCTCCATGGCCTCTCGCCCAAACCTCCCATCAGCCCAGAGGTTGCAGTTCTGTTCCAGAGAGTTCCTACCTGTTCCTTCCAACCAACAAGTGGGAATGCCCATCTGGAAGTCCTGGCGCTGCCCACGAGAGGCCTGGGCACCAGGGAGAGAAAACCGGACACTAGGCAGAGAGGATAGTAGAGAGACCCAGGCTCCAGGGTGGGTGAACCAGAGACAGAGAAGAGGAGAGGATGCTTGGGAAATTCAGGCATCTGGAAGGCAACTCCCAATAAACTTTGGGATGGAGGACAAGGCAGAGCCTAAGGTCCTGGAGTTGGGGAGACAGAGACTAGTAATAAGTAAAGCTGTTGGAGAGATCTTGACACCATGGTGGGAGAATCAAGACCAGGTGAGAGTTGAGAATAGAGCTGAAAGTCAGAAACTACGGAAGAGAAATCGGAGGGATGCTGGAGGTGAGAATCTTCCTGAAGTCCAGGCACGAACAGGAGAGAAACAGAAACAGTTAAGATGTAAAATTGATGCAGAGACCCAAACGCCAATGTGGGAGACCCAGGATAGGAGTAGGAATAAGGATGCTATAGAGACCCAGTCTTTTGAGAAGAATAAGAAAGAAGCCAGAGGAGAGGATGAAGGGGAGACCCAGGCCCAAGGGTTGAGGAAGCAGGGCCAGACTGGAACTGAGAATGGTGGGGAGACCCAGCTGCCAGGGTGGGGAAAACAAGACCAGATTAAAGGTGATACTAGTATAGAAATTCACGCAGAAAAGAGGAGAAGAAAGGGCCAGGTTGGAGGTGAGAATGCTGTGCAAATTCAGATATCTGGGAGGGAGAACTTGGGGGAAGTGAAAAAAGAGGATGGCCTAGGGACCCAAGCCCTGGCGTGGGGAAAACAGGAATGCGTTCAAAGTGAGAATGTTACAGAGATCCAGACACCAGGGTGGGAGATGCAGGATCAAAACGGAAGTGAGAAAGCTGGGAAGGTCCAAGTATTTAGGGTAGAGTTCCAGAAACAACTAAGACATGAACTTCAAGTGGGGTGGGGAAATCAAGGCCTGAAAACAGGTGAGGATTCTGGGGAAAGCCAGATATCTAGAAGGAAGAACCTCAGGGAGATAAGAGAGGAGGATTGGGTGGTGATCCAGGCGCGATTCTGGGGAGACCAGAAGCCAGTAGCAAGTGAAATTGGCAGAGAATTCAAGATACCATGTTGGGGGAATCAGGACCAGATTGGAGGTGAACATAGAGCAGAAATTCAGGCACTGGAGAAGAGAGACCAGAGAAAGAACGGAGATGAAGATGGTGCAAATATCCTGGCACCCGAGGCAGAGAACCAGAGACAATTAAGAGGTGTACCTCATGTAGAGACCCATCTACCAGGAAGGAGGAATCAGGAGCAGTTTGTTGATGAGAATAGTACAGACATCCAGGCAACAGGGAAGAGAAACCTGAGAGGCGTTAAAGGTGAACATGGTAAAGAGACTCAGGAACTTGGGGAAGAAAACCAGCATCAGTTAAACAGTGAAATTAGTGAAAGGATTCTCATACCGAAGTGGAAAAATCAGGAACACATTAGAGGCAAGGATGGTGCAAATGCCCAGGCATCTGAGGCAGAGAATTGGGGAGAATTAGCAAGTAAAATTGATGTAGAAACTCATTCAGCAGAATGGAAGAAAGAGGAGCAGATGGGAGGTGAGAATGGTGCAGAATTTCAAATCCAAGAGAAGAGAAACCTGAGAGGGACCACAGGTGATGATGATAAAGAGACCCAGGCTCCTGGGGGAGATTATCAGGGAGAGTTAAGAAGTGAAATCGTTGGAGAGATCCAGATACAAGGGCAAGGCAGCCAGAATAAGGGTGAAGATGAGGACGCTGCAGAAATCCAGGATGTAGGGAGCCAGAGAAAGTGCAGAGCTGAGGATGCTGGAAGGCTTCGAGTACTAAGGGGAAGAAACAAGGGCCAAGTCAGAGGAAAGGATGCTGCTAAAGGCAATCTCCGAGTTGACTGTTCTGGGGGTGAGGGGCCCCCAGCCCTCACTGGCTCTGGATATGGGGCCATGGACCAGGAACAGGCTGTGGCCTCTGCTCCCTGCCCTGAGATGAAGGCTCTCCCCCACCAGAATGAACTCTTCCTGCTTGCCAGTGGGGAGGGAGAGCATTTGGCCAGCCAGAGCACGGCCACTGCCAGGAAGCACAGTGTCATTCCAGCCTCCTGGCAGGCCCAACCTAAACTCCAGAAAAGCCGACAAAGGGACAAAGGAGTGGTTCCAGGGAAGACCTCTGGCCTGACTCGACAGCTCTGGAACCCACAGTCTTTGGCTGCTGCCCTGGGCCTGCCCTCTGCCTGTCCCTCTGTCTCATGTGGCCAAACCCCCCAAGCTGCCACAGCTCTGGTGGATTTTCCCACTGCCCTCACCATCCTGCTGAAGTGGCCAGTCCTCACGAAGTGCCAGCTACTGCTCCTGGAGTCCCTTATGCAGCCGAAGATTGCACACCTGAAGTGGGGCCTCTCCCAGCAGATCCTAGAATCCTACTTGCACTTTAACTTCTTAGCACCATGCCCACTGCCCCTTGAGGGGGTGAGGCTCCCTGGGTTACACAAGGCCTGTGAGCTGCAGGGGCAGCAGGAAAGGCATTGTGGGGCCCAGGGCCCCAGGCCAGGCCTTAAGTCCCCAGAGAGGTCCCAGAGCGTTCGGCGCCAAGAAAGGAAAAGCTCAAAACGTCCTACGCAGGCCAGAGCTCTGGAGAAGCGTAGACCACACCAGACAGAGCCAATGGGCGTTTCTATCCATCCTGAAAAGCCTAAGAGAGTCAGACCACCAGGGGGCCTCAGAGAACGACAGGATGTCCAGAAAGAGGCTCCTCCCAGGGCCAAGCTCACTGCTCCCAGGAGCCCCAGGCCTGCAGCAGAATCTAGTAGCTGGTGTGGCCAAGAAAGCGTCCAAGAACCCTCCAGGGAGAACAGCGGGAGCAGGAAAATGGTCAGGCCAGGGGTCTCCCAGATGGCAGAGAGGGCTCCCGGCAGAGCGAGGATCTCATACTCTGGGGCAGACCACTGGAGGAAGGAGCACGCATCTCAGGAGCCCCCCAGATTCAAATGTCAGCAGCCCACACACAGGAGAAGAGGAAGCCTGGAGCCGGAGGAAGGCAGAGGGGCTGGGCAGCAGCCTTCCTCCTGTTCCACAGACACCTTCAGCTCCAAAAGGAGTCTGCACTCTGCTGCAGCAAGGCTGAGCATGAGCTTTTTGAAGCGGATTTCCTGGTCCCCACACCTGGCCAAGCCCCAGCACTTAGCCCCCAACCTGACTGTGAGGGATCCTGATCCTATCCTGCTTCCCGAAGTGGGTGACCCACATGCAAGGGAGGACAGCATCAGAGACCACGCTTCTTTGAAGAGGGACCTTCAGCCACCAGGTCACTGCGGTGCTGGGGTTGCTCTTCCCAAAACAGAAGAACTTGAGGAAATTGAGAACCCACATGGGGCCCCAAGGAATCCACCAGCCCCCCAAAAGTTTGGTCTTATGAAGCATTTGAGGGGTTTCCTGCTCCAGCATGGCTTTAGGAAGTAGGCAGTGGGTTCAGAATCCTCAAAACACGTCAGAGAAGGCAGGAGAGTGGTCTGCTTACTCCCAAAGGGGATGATAAAATAACCTCTAATAAAATTGGTTATTTGGGCCCTGTGGGGTTCTGATTTCTTTGGTACACGTTTTATGAGTGTCCCCCTTTGGGGGTCTGGGATACTTTGTGGGTGGGATAGAAGCTACTTCTACTCTATGGTTTTGAAGGTTCAGGGAATGTGGGTCAGCCCAATGCCATCTCCTAACACCTCCCCTCTCCAGTTCCTCAGAGGAGGGTTTACTGAAGTTTCTATCATAGTTCAGTCCTGTCCTATTCCAAGCTAATTCTGATTGAGGTCGGATGCTCAAGTAGCCTCAGCTGCTTGTGGGAGGGGTGGTGCTCTGCACCGGACACTATTATTCAGGTCCTTTCAGTCACAAGGAAGGGAGCTGATCACTGAGTATCTGCCCTGCTGGGATTCTGCTGCCTGTGAACAGATTTCACGGAAAAACCATTTCCACCTCTTCAATTCTCAAGCGCTGGCAACCCTAATACCTTGTTGTTTTCCCTCACCTCACCCTCCAGGACATCCTGGAGCTAATTGTTTTTTTCAATCAAAGTCTGAAACTTCTTAGCTAAAAGGCATTATGTGTTGTGATACTTCTGTAGACAGCTTCAGCAGGTTGAAGCAGATTCACAGAACTCAAATTTAATTCAGAAAATTCAATTCAGGTTTTCTCCTCCTCTCTCCTTTATCCTCCCCCACTTCTCTCCTTTCTCCCTTCCTTTCTTCCCTTTCATTTAGCTTTCCTATTTTTAAATTCATTGTCAAACCCATACATGCTCATTAAAGAGAGTTTAGAAAATTCAAAAAAGGGAAAAACAATCCATAATCCCATCACCCAGTTAATGTTTTGATGTTTTTCTTCCTATGTGTTGCCTACCACTACTACGGCAGTTATACTGGGGTTGGCAGGCTCTAAGAAGGCTCCCAATGCTCCCTACCTTCTGGTATTCACGCCCTGTGTATTCTCCTCTCCTCGCGTGTGGATTGGATCCAGCGACTCACTTCCAACGAATAGGATACAGCAGAAATGATGGAATGTCACTTCTGAGAACAGGTTACAAAGGCTGTAGCTTCCATCTTGGGTACCTTCTCTCAATTCTCTTGCTTGTTCCCTGAGGGAAGCTGTCTTCCATTTTGTGCACTGCCTTATGGAAAGGCACATGTGGCAAGGAACTGAGGCGGCCATTGGATAACAGCCCTCAAGAAAGTGAGGCCCTCAGTCCGGCAGCCTTTGAGGAAATGAATCCTGCCACCAATCATTTGAGTGAACTTGGAAGCAGATCCTTTGGCCCTAGTGAGCCTTGAGATGAGTACAACCTCAGGAGAGACTTTGAGCCAGGGTCACCTTGCTAAGCCATGCCTGGATTCCTGATCCACAGAAACTATGAGATAATAAATGTTTGTTGTTTTAAGCTGCTAAATATTGGGGTGTGTTAGTTTTCTATGGCGACTGTAACAAATTACCACAAACTTGGTGGCTTAAAACAACTGAAATTTATTCTCTCTGTTCTGGAGGCCGAAAGTCTGAATGAAATCAAGATGTCAGCAGGGCTACACTGCTACCAAAGGCTCTAGAGGGCAATCCGTTCCTTGTCTCTTCCAGCTTCTGGTGGCTGCAGGCATTTGTTGGCTTGTGGCACCATCACTCCAATCTCTGCCTCCGTGGTCACAGTGCCTCCTCCTTTACTCTGTGTGTCTCTTCTCAAGACAGTTATCATTGGATTTAGGGCCCACTGGATACTCTGGATGATATCTTCATTTCAAGATCCTTAATTACAACTGTAAAGATCCTTTAGAAAAAAGGTAATTTACAGGTTGTGGGGATTTTGGACGTTACATTAGTTTGCTCCAGCTGCTATAACAAAATAATACAGCATGGGTGGCTTAAACAACAGAAGTTTATTTTCTCACAGTTCTATAGGCTAGAAGTTCAAGATCAAGGTTTTGGCTAATTTGGTTTCTGGTGAGCGCTCTCTTCCTGGCTTAGAGATGGTCACCTTTTCATTATGTCCTCACATGGCCTTTCCTCAATGCCTATACATAAAGAGAGAGATAGATCTTTCTCTCTTCCTCTTTTTATAAGGCCTCCAATCCTGTTGGATTAGCATGTCACCCTTATGACTTCATTTAAACTTAATTACCCCCTTAAAGGCCTTATCTCCAAATACAGTCACATTAGGGGTTAGGACTTCAATATCTGAATCTGGTGGACACAGTTCAGTCCACAGCAGACATGGAGGTGTCTTTTTGAGGGTCACCATTCAATCCATTACATGGATTGTTATGCAGCAATAGATAACTAATACAAATGTACCCAATTGTAATAATTTGCTTCTCTTTCTCCTTGACTAGTTCTAGTTACTTGAGGACAGGGACTGTCTCTTGCTCACTTTTGAATCCTCTAGATCATAGCAGAGTTCCTGGCTCCAAATTTTGTCTAAAAGAATACATAATTTGTTGACATTAAAAAAGTAAACATAGAATAATGTTTAATTATATGGAAGATGTACATGATATATTTTTTCTGAGAAAAGTTTACACACCTTTGTATGTTGCTGTTGTAAAAAGGTATAGAAAAAGACTAGAAGAAAATATACCAAAATATTATTTTTTCTTCTATTTTCTTCACTGAACATATATTACTGCTATAATATAATTTAATGGTGTTGAATAAATGTTTGCTTATTTATTTTACATACCTATGTATATAATTCTGCATCTTTTGTACACTTAGCATTTTAACGAGGATTTTTCCATGTTAAATCTACTTTTCTCAAGAATCAGTTCATGATACTACATTAAAAAAAATAATAATAAACCATTGTTTTCCAAATTATTTTGCCATGGAAAGCACTTTTTCTACTCCGTCACACTGCTTCTGAATGTAGAAAACATCTCTTGAACTTATCTCCTTTAACACTAACCGGTTGCTGGGCACTTTGGCGCTAATTAAATACTTGTAGATTGACGGGTTTTGTTAATACACTTAACAACAAACTATATTTTCTTCAGTATACCTTCTGCGCTCACAAAATCGCAAGAACTGTGCAGCCCTCTGTGAGACGATATTTTAAGGGGACCATCTTAGAATCTCTGAAAGAAAGGTGTCACCTTAGATTATTTGAAAGGTGCCACGTAAATTTAAAATAATAGAGCTGATAGTTTTTCGATAAGAATCCCTGAGATCGTTTACTTTTTAAATACCAGAAATAGATTGTTTCCTTTTCTTACTTTTTCAAGGCTAATAACAGAGTCTTTATAAATGGTTTTCAACCTTCGGCGTGGTAAAGACGAATTCCTGCAGGCTCCAAGAGCAAACAACTTGGGGCTTAGAGGTACGCTCTTCCGACTCCTGAGGCGCGTCACCCGCCCACAGGGGCCGCTGCTCTCCTGAGACTGGCTGGCATTCGGTTCGCGCAGGCGCATTACCCTTCTCCCCACGCGCCCGCGTCGAGCTATGCCAAGTGCGCTTGCGCATGAACTGAGCGGGAAAAGGTGCTGCAGTGGTAGAACGCAAGCGGAGAGATGGCTGTGAGGGAGCCAACGGCAGGCTTTCCCGGGCCCGGGAGGGACGAAGAGGCGGCGCTGCTCTTCGAGAGGGCCCATTACCGGCACGACCCGCGCTGGCTGCTGCCCGTGCCCCCACGCCTCTGCCTGGCCTGCGCGCTGGAGCTGCTGCCGGAGCCTAGCGTATCGGTGCGAACTGGCATTTCCCTCACCAACCGGGCGGGAGCAACTCCCTTCAACCGGGCGCACCTTCCCCGAAACTAGGCCGGGCCCACCCGCCTCGTTAAATCTAGCCCCTAAACAGGCCCACCCCCTTACCGGCCACGGCGGCCTACCCCGCAGACCGCTCAGCATCCCCTTTCCAAAGGAGGCCCAGACCCTGGCCTTGCGCCTCAAGTGGGCCTACCCTGTCCGCACTAAACCCGGGGCTCCCAGGGCCCCCAGCCTAGACTCACTGGCACGCGTTCCCGCCTTCCCGTAAGCCCTTCTCTCAGCTGCCCTGCCCTTTGCTGACCCTCTCACCACTTCTCCAGGATTTAGCCTTCACTCAGGCTCCCTCCCACTTGAGTCCCTGCTCAGCCTGAGGGCAAGGCGCGCGCACCCTGGGGGCTTATTCCTTCGCTTTCTGACTGTGCGAATGGGAGGAGGGGGCTCCTTGGGCTCAGTGGCGGCAGGAAGAGTGGAAGTTAGGGCCCAGCAGGAGTGGGGTGAGGGGAGGAGCTTTCTGAGAGGCAGAGGTGGCTGAAGCGTGGGCTGCCTGTACCTTCAATGCCTACCCACCTTCGCAGCGAGTTTTTTGTCCGCGGAGACCTCCAAGAAGAGTTTGGGAGATGACTGTTCTCTCAGAGTCACAGGGCTGGAATTGTTGCCGTGGGTGGGTGGGGGATGAGCTAGATCAGCGGTTCTCAAATTTTTGCTCTAGGGATGGCTTTACACTTTTTTTTAAAAAAATTATTTATTTATTTTTGTCTGTGTTGGGTCTTCGTTGCTACCAGGCTTTCTCTAGTTGCGGCCAAGGGGGGCTACTCTTCGTCGCAGTGCGCGGGCTTCTCATTGCAGTGGCTTCTCTTGTTGGGAGCATGGGCTCTAGGCATGCGGGCTC